CCGCTCCTGCGCCTCCCCGGCACCCGCGGGCGCTGGGCATTTCTCAAACCCGCCAAAAAAACCCCAAAGCCCAAACAAAAAAAGATCCCGAAAAAAAAAAGCAATAAAATCCCGGCGTGCTGGAGCCCGCAGGTTGCTCTTCCTAAGGAATACTGACAGCAGCGACCTTCTCGTTGAAGTCCCTGCGATGTAATTATGGTTTGCGGGGAGGAGGGAGAAAGAGCGCTCTCTTACTGATTTATTTTAATTGGAGGTATTTTTGCACTTCATCTTTTCCGACCTTGGAGGTAGCGTCTCCGCTAGTAAATAGATCCCAGCTCCCCGCAGAAATGCACTGGCCAGAAACGCTCCCGTTTGCACGGCAGACGGGGGCGAGCTCTGCCTTCCTGGCCCCGCCGTGGGAGAGCTGCTGCAGGCGCCGTGCGCTTGAGCTGCTGCTTGTCTGACTGCTCCCGGGTTACCCCAAATTAGGGGGTTCCACTACAGCTCGGCTACGCCTGACCCATCGCACTTCGGTTTAAACAAAAGATGTCAGTGTGCGCACTGAGAGACCGTGCAGCATCGCCTCAGAAAAAGGCATTAAATTATCAACAAGTTACTTGCATTGGAGAGTCATAAGGAAGGTATTTTATTGCAAGGCAAACGACAGTTTTTAGAGTGCTTCTTGTAGCGTTTGTTTCCCAATCTTTATTTTTCCCAGGATTCGTTTTCCCTTTTTCCTTGTTTCCCTACTCTCTCTCATCGTCTTAAAAATTGGTCTGAAATATACCGTGGGCAAAATTTGCTATTTTAGCTAGGATATTAAAACCTAACTATTATCTCTCAGAACGTTGCTTAAAATTCAGTCTTAACGATTTGCTTATTAAATGAAAACAAAGTCTATTTGTATTGAACACAGTGGAAAGATTTCCTAAACATAAACGGGAGAAGCCTTTGTCCGAAATCCGTGTATACGGTCGTAAAACGAAGTTAACTTTTCATTTCTCCGTTTCCAGATCTTCTGCCGGCATGCAACGGAGAAATAACAACTATGTCTTTCCTACAAGACGTTGTGGACATTTTACTTCAGTATGTGGTGAAAAGTTTTGATAGATCAACAAAAGTTATTGATTTCCATTACCCAAATGAGCTGCTCCAGGAATATAACTGGGAACTGGCAGACCAGCCACAGACCTTGGAAGAAATTCTATTGAACTGCCGAACAACCCTGAAGTATGCGATTAAAACAGGTAATAGCCATGTTAATTTTCTATCCTATATGGTCTCAGCCACTGATTAAAGGTGTCATTTCATTTTAGCTTGAAACGTTAAAGATTGAAGCAGCCACTGTGTTTTGTCAGTTCCAGGCAATTTCTAGCAGAGACAGAATCGTTTTCCTAAATGATAAAATACTCCAGCAACCCTGTCTCTGTAGCTCTCGGTGCAGCATCGCACACCCTTTCCGATTTAAAATTAATGCTTCTGTGCGTCGGAGTTGCCGAGTGTGCCACTGAGCAGCCTTTTCACCACCTTGGCGACTTTCCTCCTTTCCTTTTCATCCATTTTACATGTGATGGGCCGGGGATTGCCCCGCAGACCGGCGGGCGTCGGGCGACCAGCCCATTTAACAGCCAAAACCGCAATAAACATCCTGTAAATGGGAGCTCTGAGCGGCCATTTGCTGTGTCTCTCCCCTTACCTGCAGGACATAAAAATAGGAAAATTTGATTGAACTGCCCACAGGAGTATTGGGGTTTTTTTCCAACTTTAGGCTCAAGCAATAGAAACAAAGCCCGTATTGTTTCACTAGCCTTTTGTTGTTGTTGTTTTTCACTGGGGAGGACAGGGGTGGGTTGACTCCTGCATGTATGGGACCTCCCCCCCATGTGGGCTTCGTGGCGGGGCGGCAGCGTGGGGCTCACCCGGGCGTGGGGAAGCCCCCGGCTCCGCACCCGGGGACACATTAAATCAACTGCGGCAGAGCGGACAAAAAGCGTAGCTACAATTACGGCTGCGATTGAGAAATAATGTGGAGTGCAGGGAGCTCTTAGTAGAAATTTGAATTACTGAGAAATTGCTTAAAAATAAATGTGTAGCAATTACTGAAAGAGGCAAAAAGGTGATTTGTGGATAGAGGTTGAGGGGAAAACAAAAATCAGGTTTTGTCACCTTTTGGGAACAGAACAGAATGATCCCAGTAAATATTGGGGGGGATCTGTGTAATCCTCCTCATTTAGAGGTGGAAATGTCCAGCTGAATGTTTTTGATGCAGGAATTGGGTGCTGTCAAAACGTCTGTAAAATATTGGAATAAAGAGTTAGATAAATGATGTCCACAGGAACAAAGTCGATCAGTCCAGTGATCCATGTGATGTGTCTGGGTAGGAAACATTTTCACAGAATGCTGTGACACACAGGATCTGTGAATCTGGGAAATCAAAGAATAGGATTTCTTAAGCAATTTTCGTTAATCTTTTTTTGTCATAGCCTGTTTCACATAATGGACCTATTTCATTTTCTGCATCCAAAAAAGACCCTTTAAAACAATGTTACCATTTCTCTTCCTCCCTATGAATATGCAAGGCTTTCCCTTCTTGGCATTTTTTTATTTGTTTTAATGAAAATAATGCTTTCAAGGTCCGAGGACTGGTGCTGGGGGGGTTGTGCAAGATGTGGTGGCGCGGTGGGGTTTGCCTGCGGGGTTGGGGGGCACGGATCCACCTCGATTGGCTGGGGCCGCTCCTCCGCACCCTGGGGCAGCTGCCCCAGCCTGGGGGGGGCCACGAAACGCGCGGGATTTACACCCAGAGCCCTTCGGCATTTGCCACCCCCATCACACAAGCTTCAGAGTGAAACGCTTGAATTACCCTCAGAGGAAGGACAGTGCGGTGAGGTTTCTGGCGGCAGGGGTCTGCATCCATTCCCGCTGCAGGAGCCCTTCGGACACAGCCCCTCCTGGGCTGAGGAGCGCCTGGGCTGCGTGTGGCTGCAGGGACCTGGGCGGCAGATTGGAAAATAAATTGTATTGCTTAGATTAGCCTCACAGCTGGATCCCCAAGTCCCAGCACTGATCCCCGGTTGGGATTCAAGGAGCCAGATGGCTGATTTTTCGGCCGAGGGGCGGGTGTAGGATGCTCCCAGGTGTTGCCTGCGTGCTGCGGCTCGCTGGGTTGCACGGGGGAGCCACACACAGCTTTCTGCCCCCTTACCAGCTCCAGGCATCCACCTCTGGCGAGAATTTCATCTGAGAGAATATAGAAAGCAGCGTCTGAAAATGCAGGGAAAGATAGATGTGAAATTCAGTTCCTGTGCAATGCTCACAGGGGAAATTGAAATGCGAGCATTTAAAAATGGCTTGGAAACCCCAGGAAGGGTGTGAGGAGCTGGCGCTGGTCCAGCCTTGCTCCTGGCAGGCCCTGATGCCGGTAGTAGGCCGTGCACGCGGTGGGGCTGTGAGCAAGGGCAAACCCAGTGCCACCAGCCGTGCCTTCATTCATGCTGTCCAGCTTTGCCCGGCCCTTGTCGCTTCCCTGTTGAGGCTGCGGAGGCTGCATGTTAATGCTAGGGGATGCCCATGCCTAAAACCAAGCGCAAGCAGGAGCATGTTTGAGAAGGTGTGGGATGAAGGCACATCTTCAGCAGGGAAAGCCCATCCCTGGCTGTCCTAGTGCCTCAGCCCTGGCTCTTGCCCATCATCTCCCGATTTACTCTGGGATATGCATAAATGTGTTGTATATTGCTAAACCAACCAGTAAGCCATAATCTCCTATTTTCACATCTCCCCCCACTCCCTGCACCCTGTCAGTCTTTTTTTCCAGTCACCTCTTTGTTCAGTGACAACCATAACAAAGGATGTGCGTTTCAGGCAGATGGCACCCGGGTAGTGATTTTTGAGCATCTCTTGCAAACTCGTCTTACCTGGCTGGTGGAGCCTGTATTTTAAGCAAAGCCACAATTTTCTGTGGCCAGCTAGCTGAGGGAAGAGAGCTCACCCACGTATTAGGGTGTCACATGGATGGACAAACACTTGCAGCTGAGGTTGGGGTCAGATTGGGGCATTACGTTCTCTGCCACTGCGTGTTAAAGCCACATTGCAGAAGGGAAGGGCACTGAGTGGAGGGGGCCATGTTACAGGTGTAGGTGCTGGGGGCTCTGCCAGCAGCTCCTGCTCTCCCTGTACTAACGTCTCTGTAGGAGCACAAGACTGCTCCCCCATCTCACTCCAGGGTACGGCTGCCCTGACCCCTGCATGCAGCCGGCCCCGTTCCTACAGCAGTTCCCAAAGCAGGAGGTGTGCTGTGAGGTTTCCTTGAAGAAACAAGCAGTGACAACAGGGCTGTCGCCTGGGGCTGGGTACGGGGCTGACAGAGAGCTGCCGAGACACTGCAGCTGCAAATATGAATTCTGCTATTCCCCAGCTTTTCCGTGTGGATTTATTTGCAAAGCAAGAGTGGCTTTGGCAGTGGTGGCAGGGTGCGCGTGTGCCCCAGGCCCACCTACCCCATTTGAGAGCATGTGGGGTGGCGGCCGGATCCTGTTCATCCTGCTAGATCTCGGCAGTGTGTGCCTGAGGGGCTTTGGCTGCCTGTCCTGGGCAGCGTGGACCAGGGGAAGGTGGCAGTTCCTATCTGCGGTGGGGAGGGCTCGGTACAAAACGCACTCAGGCTGGATGGCAGCTGGATGGCAGCTGGATGGCTGGATGGGGCTCGTCTCAGGTTAAGGGTGCAGGGAGCTGGATTTTGCGTGTGTGCCCCCCCCCCAGCCCCGTATCCCCTGCTCTGGTCTGCCCGCACAGCCCAATTACTCTGCCTTTGTGTGTGCAAGGTGGGGGCCGGGGAGCAATTCCCCGTGCTGTTCTGCCAGCCATGTGTCTGTGCCTGATAAGAGGCCACCAGAGAGCAAAGATAAGTTTTCTTTTGGTGCTGGGTCTGCATTTCCTCAATCATTTCGCTCTATGTTTTGTTTTCTGTGATGGCAATAACAGTATGTCGTCTGTGGGTCAGGACAGGTGTTTTCCAAGCAGAAGCTACTGTCCTTTGAAGATGACATTTAAGTAATTGTGAACCATCCATAATTTGTACCAGTAATTATGCCACTTAACAGGGGCTTGCGGGGAGCAACTAGTAAAAACTGAGTTTTAATGGTTCCTGGGTTTAATGGCTGAAGGCATGTTTTTAAGAAAAATCTCTGACAGGATTTTAGAAAAAAATCAGGAGCCAATTAGATTTACCAGGTAAATGGACTGTCAGCTCATTGAGTATATTCTTGTGCATCATTCTGCTGGGGCAGCAATGCTGGTTTTCCTGGGGTTTGTTTAAAATCGCCATTGCGAGCAGCCAGGCCATTTGTAATTGCACTCTGACAGGGAAGAAATGACAAGGACCGCCACCTTCCCTGCCATCTTCATGCAATCATCAGCCTTTGAGTCATGTGCAAAGCAGTCACCAAAATGTTCCATTTTCTCATTTCGCCCTGTCTATTATAATCATTAGCCATTCATTACTGATGTTATATGTACTGGCAAGCTCTTCAGATGGTGTCTCGTGCGTGCCTTTCAAACCTAGCCAGGCAAAAACACATCCAGTGACAACATGTGACACAGTAACGGGAGCACACAGCTATTTTTGTGAGGCAGTGATGTGCTAATTTTCAAGGCATATTGAGAGGATAATAGGGAATGCTGGAATTAATTATTCTGCGTTCAGTGTAATTAGTCTGATTTTACTGAGTTTGGAATGAGAAAGAAGATAAATCCTGCCTTTTCCAAGAAATGTATTTATTGCTGTTTGCTTTGTTTCGTACCTTGAAAGCACTTCCTTCTCTATAGAAATCCGGAGGTAAATATACCGTTCAGCACTGAATAGTTTCATTCAGAGTCATCAGCCTTTTGATAACTGTCCTGGTTTTGGACATCTTATGCAGGGTATAAGATACATAAGGTTTTTCCATCTTACGCAGGGCACCCTAGATATTTTAATCAACTTTCAACTGGATTGGACATGGTTGGATTGGCAGCAGACTGGCTGACATCAGCAGCAAATACTAATATGTAAGTAGCAGATTTTTTTTCCATAATAATATTTACAGTTACACTCTAAAATATTAGCTGCTGTAGCTGAATGAAAGAAAGCATACTTTTATGTTAAGGTTGCTGGAAAAACAATTGTCTGCTTTTTAAGTGGTTGCTACAGCTATTTACATGAAGACTTTCAACATTGTCCTGTAGGCTGTCTTCTATAAAATGTCATCGTACTAATATGATGTTGGTTTTGCTACCCCCCAAAAAATACACAGAAGAAAATATTTTAGCATTTTGCGTGCATAAACACGTAAAATGGAAGGTTTGCTAAGTGAACAGTTGGCATTCATGTAGAGGGGTTATGTACAATCCATACTCAGAGCAGTTAGAGCCATTGCTTTCTGTAAGAAAGAGGTGCAGAATTTGAAATGTGGAGTTTTTTTCACTTTGTGACTAGGAAGCATTTTTGTGCACTTGCTTAGCTTCATGCACTGTCTTGTCATCATGAACAGGACTGCTGACGTGTATGCTTCTAGACAGGCACACGGGTTTTTGCAAGGCGAAGGTCTGGCTCTGCCCAGCAGCTCTTGGATACAGGGCAAAGCCTTGAGCCTGGAAAAGGTGGGCAAGATTTGTTTCACTGAAATGGGTGGAAACGGAGTCTCAAGCGCTCTCAGCATTTCTCTTTCTAGACATTTGACGTCAAATCAGAAGGAAGATTATCAAAAGTATTGTAAAACAGAACTCTGTCCAGTGCAAGATAGAGTATATTGTGGCTATAATGTAATGTAATACTGGAAAAAGATGTGTTAGTGTTGTAGATGAAAGCATTAAATATGGACATTACTACATTTCAGGTTCACCTATGAAATTGCTCCAGTGTTTGTACTTTTGGAATATGTCACACTAAGGAAAATGAGAGAGATGGTTGGCTGGCCAGGGGGCTGTGGCGATGGGATATTTTCACCTGGTACATGATATTTCAAGCTTTCTTTATTTTTCAGACTATGCTGTATGACATCCCTGTAGTTAAAGAGTAAACGTAATTAAAATATGCATGTTCGAGAGGACACTTGCTAGTAACCACCAGTGGCCTCTTTGAGATAAAGTATTGCATGTTTATGAATTTTAGGGATGTGATTATGAGGGTCTGTTTGAGCAAATTGCACTGCATTGTGAGCAGCTGTAATGGCACATGGGAAACATAATCAGAAGAGACATTTGCCTTGCAGTTTCGCTTTGCCCCCACTTTTTATGGATTACATGAAATAGAAAGACTATTCTATTAATAATGGAGGGAAGAAACACAACAATGCTCTCCATCACCGCAGGGGAAATTGGAGCAAAGAGGGAAAGACGTAGCATCCCTTTAAGTAATTTCAGTGGAGTTGGTAAGATCCTGCCAACATTACAGTCTGCAGTTAGCTTTCCATGTGTGAGCTGGCCTGTTGAGCTCAGTGGGGGTACTTAGGTGGCTAGTTAATCTGAGTGCTTAAAGGCTCAGAAACCTGGTTCCGTCAGGGCAAGTCAATAAGGCAAAAAATGAGTGTGATTAACTGTAGAGAAATCATTGACTCTGTCAAACACGACATTGTTAAGACTTTTTTTTTTTTAATCATTCCACTTAGTCTTTTGATTTATACTCTTTGTCACCTCCTACCTTACTCTGGAATTTCATTGCTAAAAATTTTGGCCTATCTTTCCCACCAAATTGCAAAAAATTGAAGAATTTACATTGGGCATGGTATCTTGGCTTGTCAAAAGAGAACAGACTGATAGCTGGTGAGGAAGGAGCCCTTCTGGAAAGAAAGTTCAGTGACCTAATGGAGAGGGAAAGAGTGTTTGGACTATTGAGCAAAGGAAAGGCCTCAGTGATAACAGCCTAGGATGTGCAGCTGTCTGAGGGCATGAATGGTAAAGTTCATGTTGTGCAGAAGATCAGGCAAGGCTCGTCTTCAACTTCTCACATCTGAATGCACACATGGGAAGTGTGTGAGTTTTGTCCTGGGCCTTTCCACAGAGGTGGAGAAAAAGATGAGAAGAATTTACATTACTTCTTGTTGAGTCCTTATTTAAAAAGCACTGAGAGTAAAAGTTCTGACAGCTTTTACTGTAGTGCTTAGAGGTCCTGACAAAACCCGTGGCCTCCATCACACAGAGCAGCATCTAAACGTGTATCACGAGCCTAGGACCTAAGCCAAAGTTTTTGGAAACTGGACAGTGGTTGGTTACTGTCCAGTCCCTGGCCTGACTCAGTACAGCTGGTCTTCAGTTCCTCACCTTGCAGGCTTGAGCTGCAATAGCCCTGCCGGGCTGGTCGGGGACAGAAGAGCAATAGCAATGCTGCTTAGCGGACGTGGTGGGCAGAGGCTGGGCACGGGTAGCAGGCGGAGGTGAAAGGCTCAGTGCATGCGCCAGATCTGCCCAAGTCTGGCAAACTGTGCTTGAGATAGTGTGAGTCAGGAAAGATGAATGCCTCAGAAGGAACTGCCGTCCGTCCTGCGTCAGCGAGAGGTCCCTGCCTGACCTGGGGAGTCAGGGTGTTGCTAGCATGTCAGATGCTGGAGCTCACTTCAGCTAGCTGAAACCTGCATGGGGACGAGCTCTCTGGCAGGCGCATACCTGTGCTGGCCGTTTGCAGTGCTGCCCCCTCTCATCCTTTCTTTCTCTGCAAATTTCTGGTTTGTGCAAAGTGCACCTTTCTAATTCACTCTCTTAAGGCAGCAATACCCAGTGTGGAGGTTCTGCTTTTTTAGGCAATAATCAAAATCATCTCTGTGCTGTCTTCTCATTTCAAACTGTCACGGCTTCAGCTGAAGACATTACTGTTGCAAAGAAAAGGTTCTCACTCTCTGCATTCTCTGGAATGAAATATACAGTATCAATACATGCAAAGCATAAAGGCCTGATTAGGTTTTCCAAATTCTGTAGGTGTGTTTTGTTGCCTGCAATTAACTGTGGGTGTAAACACAGCTGCAAAATTAAAGGCAGAATGCGGGGTTATTAATAAGCTTAAGGTTAAATGACTAGGTAATAAATACTAATAGGAGAGCCTGGTATTGAAGAAACTTAACATTTCAGTCTTGATTCTTTTGACACTGAGCCAATGACTTCAGACAATATAGGCCAAATTTCTTCAACTTGGACACCTTAGTTCAGTCACCTAAATCATCAACAGCAGCCGTTACATGACATCTGCATTTTTTAGGGACAGGTACCTGAGCATTTCCTCTTAATCTCTCCATTTCTTGTTTTGTCGTTTGTGAAAAGAGGTGTAGAAATATGTTCATACCTCTCAAGATAGTTGAAGGGGGAAGAAAAAGCCCGATCTGTACTGACCCCCATGCCAGCAATGCCATCCCTCTGTGGCATTTTCCCTTGGATTCACAGGAGGACCAGTGATGTCCAGGAAAGCCCAGAGCAGAGGCAGCCTCACTGCAAGAGCAAAGCTAGGACATTGATTAGAAATGAAGGGCATGGTTTCTGTGGGCTGTGGAACAGTATATATATCTCCAGTGGGATAAATACAAATCTTACAAAAGTCAAAACGATACTAAATTCGCCAGCACATATACCCTGCTGGTGTAACGTCGCTGCTTTCAGCAGAGCTACCTTGATCTGTTTAAAGGGTGGATTTTATCTTACCTCACTTTGGCTGTCCAAGCATTGGGTGTCTACCCTGAGCTAGTTACAGCAGCTCCCATATATTCAAGGGAGAGGGGTGGATGTGTTTGCAGGGAAAGTCATCCCACCTACCACAAGCAGCTACCTTAGGATGAACTGAACCATCTTCTGGAAGTGCCTGTCTTGTGCTCTTCACTCCATTTTTAGATGGATGAAAGTTGGGTTAGTTGAACTCTACCTCAGCTGCACTCTGACCTGTTCATTTAAAAGCCTAAAAGCATGACCAGTATACACCTTTGCTTTATATAAATATATGTGCATAAACATAAATATATAATCAGTCTGTATATATATATATAGTATATATATACAGGATAAAACTGGTGGATTTTATGTATACGTGTCTCTGTGTGTGTGTGTTTATGTGCGTACATATGTAAAAGTACTGAGACTCTGCCTCAGGTTCTGCATTATATTCCCATAGTGCTCATGCAGCATTAATGTATAACCAAACATTGTTCCACTGTAGACACAGAGGCTCAGTTTGTAAAAATATCAGAAAGGAAAAACAAAGTGCTCATTTTTAATTTATGCATTGATAATTGAAATATGGGAACAGAATACTGGAGCTGTCACCCGATACTCATCTTGAAATGGGTAAAATACCCATCTTGAAATGGGTATTTTAAGTCAATGTATGCCAGTGATTTTAAGGATGGTGTTAGGGACATGTAACCTTTTCCCCTTGCTCCCATCAGAGGACAAATAAAAAGAAAAATGTTTGTTAGAATGACCCTTTTTCCTTTCTCTTCCCTCCCCCCACTCCAGTTATCCGGAAGATAGTGTCTATTGGGACTCACTGTGTGGGTTTCCTCAGAGCCAGGGCATGAAACACCACCCAAATTTGGGAGGGGAGAGCACAGTTTAGGTTGCACTTGGAAGTTGCCTTGTGGTGGCGTCCACTTGGGAGGTGGAACAGAGTAAGGATTATGTGTGGATGGCATATGGAAAGATAAGATTGGGGACTAAAGGAGAAATGGTAGCAAAAATGAGGATGAAAGGAAACCCCCATCATTTTTTGCAGCAGTACTTTTTGTATAAATTGTTATTTGGGTGTAGTAGATCCTGTTATTACACAACCCAGCTGTGAGGGAGCATCAGGAAGAAGAATCTGCCATTGGGCAGAAACATTAACATTAGAGTTAGAAAAACTGTAGCAAGACTTGTCGTTTGTTCTGCAATAATATTACAATGCATAGAAAAAGTAACAGTATATTACTGTGGACTCCAGGTGGTGCCATATCTAACATGTATGCTATGTTGATTGCACGTTTCAAGATGTTCCCAGAAGTTAAAGAAAAAGGAATGGCAACTATTCCCAGACTGGTTGCCTTCACATCAGAACATGTATGTGTTTCTGTTTTTTCCTATCTGTTACATCTGCTTGTATGAATTTATGATGAAGAAAATAGCCGAATGGGAATTTGTACCCAACTGTCTTCATTTCTGTTATTCCTTCACTGGGAATAAAAGAACGGGAAGGGGCTGGCTTTTTCATATATAGAGGGATGAGCTGTGCGGTTATCTGTGGCTGAAACCCAGGGAGAGCAGGTTCTACAAACCGCTGCCATTTTTTTGCTCTCACTTGTGTCTGTATAAATGTCGATGTGAACGGTAAGGACCACATCAAACGATGAGAGCTCATCGTCAGGCTTCAGCACTTTCTGCCAGGAATGTCTTTTGTTTGGGTCACTCTGGGGGAACAGAAAATCACTGTGCGTCAAAATGTTTCTAGCCGAAACCACTCTGCTATTATTTAATGAGAGGGTGATAACATACATGAAGACAGTATTATGGAAATGCTGTGTGTGTGTACAGCAGAGCAGCTGCGGTATACGGTGGGGAACTGGGCTTTACTGTGGGCTTCTGCCTGTGAGCAAAAGCTTCAGCACACCGGGGTTCATCACAGGCACTGACGGGATCTGGCGGTGCAAGCAGCGAGGGGAGGTGGGCACAGGAGAAATCAGAGTGGTCCTCATGGGAGAAACACAGGGTTTTTTGCTCTTTGAACAATCATACAGAAGTCATATTTCTGTCTGTATTGTGGGGGTTGTTTTGGGTTTATGGCCAGTTAAAACCTCCTTGCGGCTTACAGTGGAGAATGCGTGTGCAGGAGGAAGGGGAAAAGGAAAGGTTATACCCAGGAGGGGCTGTGAGCTCTCTTCAGGCTTCATGGTCCCATTCTAAATTTCTCTCCAACTGTGTGGGCCTGGCCAGAAAGGACTCTTTCATGGCTGGGGCTCAGCAAGATGCCATCCATGTTAGGTGACAGCATCCTCCTGGCTACCTTTTTTGACTTATCAGAGAACGTGTTTCCATTCTGTGCGAGTGTGAAGAGCAAAGTGTCCTAAAAACTGATCAGAAATGTCTGGGAGGAAATCACTCTGAGGATGCCTTTCATGGCAGTAGGATGAGATGCGATACACAACTGTGGGCTCCACATTGCAGAATAATTGTCCCCAAAGCAGTCGGAGAGCAGGGTATTCTACAAATGAGTAGCAACTCTCCAAAGTTGGCTGTACAGCTAGAGATGCATTATTCATATGGAAGTTACAGACCTAATAAGTCTTGCAAATAAGGTTCAGCATGATTATTTAAAATAATAAATCCTATTAATCATTAGAAAATTCCATTGTATTCATAGCGATGGAATGTTAAACAAAGAACCAAATTGTGCTATCAGTCGCAAAAATAATGAAATGAGCTTTAATAATTGTGTTTTCATGCCAGGGAAGAAGCAGTTCCCTTAGCAAATTAAACATTCTAAAATCAAATATAATAGCAAATCCATAGAACAGCATCTGAAATCTGTTACATTTTAAAAGAATCTTGAAATTACAGTTTTGTCACTTCCTCAATCAAGGTTTTTATAAAGTATGTTTACATACTTCTTTACATACATGCGCATCTTCTAGGGAAGTTAAGAAACCATGCTAAGTGAAGACAGAGTCCTTTAACTCTTATTTGCCCAAAGGATGTGGGATCAGGGTTTAACCCTCAAAATAGCAGAGACTGTTACAGGAATTGCAGAGGCCCAGAAGTACCATCCCCTTTTTAGGTAGGAAATGTCCTGCAGAACCTGAAAGGACACTAAGATATGAGAATGTCATTTGTCTCATTTATCACGTCACGGTGATCTTCTACTTCCTTTTAGACTCCCCAGCCTGATTGTGGTTTCTCTCTGCCATAGTTGGATGCTCTTGTAAGATGATGGCTGTGGAACAAGCAGTCTGTAAACTGGATACTATAATTTCCTCATGCTCTGCGTGTGTGGCATGACAGTAAACAAAGCTTAAAGCTACTTTATGTGTTTAGAAACATTGACATTTTTGTCTCAAAATTTTCAGACAGAAGTAAAGATTCCAATATCAGCAATTGTCAGACAAGAATATTAGCATCACAGACTGGACTCCATTTTCATTTCTAACAATCTAGAGCTTCCTTTACTATAAACGAATGAAGTTACACCACAATTGCCACCAATATTACTGTAATCAGAATCTGGCCTCAATCTGATGCCGTGATAGGTTCAGCTGCCAGTGGGGGAGAAGGGAAGAAGGGAGTAATTCACAGCTCTAAGTAGTTCCCTTCCTAATTTAGGAGTGCATCATGTTCCTAAATTAGGAGTCTCACTCTCTGCATAATCAGGGAAGAGAGGCACTTCTGGAGGGAAGCTCAGAGCATCCAAATTAGGAATCTAAATATTCCTTAATTCAGATGTTCTGAATCACCTTCAGGAGGGGTTCACCTACTTCTGTGCATTGACCATACACAGAGATCAGCCTCCTGACATACACAACCTACATTAGGTGCCTAAAATAGGTTATGTGACTATTCCAGTGTTCCCAGTAAGCAGATCTTCCCCAAACTGTTCAGTAGGACTGTGACTTATCTCTCACTCTGCTTCTGTTTATTTCTGTTTCACCAGTGAAGTGAAACAGTACACAGAAACAGTGTACAGTGAAGTACACTGTAACTGATTAGGTTGGTCTTGGTGCAGGTATAATTTCACTGAGATGCACTTGCTCAGGACTTAAGTCAATCCTCTGTATTCACCAGTGCATCATCAGTGGTTCTTTCATCTGCACTGGTGCAGGAGCAGAGTAATGTCCTTCAGGGCAGCTGTTCTGGACTGCACGTGACACAAGAGACCTTGACTCGGAAGGATAAAAGTGATGGATACCATTTGTAAAAACCTATTTTAGTCTTATCGTTTCAAACACAATGAAAAATCTAAGATGAAGGCTGCCTCCTGTGTCCCAGTGCATCAGCTTTAGGCTGCTGTGAGTGTTCAGCTGAGCACATCCCTTTTTCAGTGTGGAGAAAGCGGCTGAAAGGGAGAGCTGCCTTCTCAGAACATTTTCATTGATCCATTTGTCTATAAGGCAAGTCCTATTGAATTTTAACCCATTCCATGTTGTCATTTTGACCTGGCCAACCAACACTCCCTTTGATAGCATCCAGCAGGAGCTGGGAATAGCATGGAGCAGGGATCACCCCTAGCAGGCAAAAAGGACAAAGTCATTGTACTCTGAGGAGGAAAGGGGTGCAGAGTGGAAAAGTTTAGCTGTAGAGAACTAGTTGGGTTCAGGTTACAAAACAGTCCTTGGCCTTTTTATTTGATAGTATAAAAATAGCTGAAGAGACTTGCACCTTTTACATGGACTCGATGTTTAATTGGGGGCTATACAGACTCAATCCACAGTTCAGGGAATGAAAAAAAGCTCGGCATAATTGGGAAGACATAGAGATTTTGTCACCTCTGCTGTTCTCCAACCCAGCAAGACTGTGCTCATGTAGGCCACATCAGCTTTCCTGATTTCCCACCCCCTCTAGCAGCCACCACAGGGAGGAACGCCTGTCAGGTGTTCCCCAGGGAAATAGCAATACAACTCCTGTCTTAGTTTTGGAAGAGAAACCACAGGGTAAGAACTGGCAGTTCATCCAGTTAGAGAGCCAGGGGAGCACAGAGAGGGTGTCTCTGCCTCTGGCATCCCCCCATGTGCACTGCTCTCGGGGTGAAACGGCTCCTGCCCAAGGTTTCACTGGAAGTATGGCTCCAGCAGCCACTGACTGTGAAGGGAGGGTCTGTTGGCAGCTTAAGTGTAAGGTGTCAGCATTGTAGACAGCCGGACATACTCAGAGGGAGCTTATTCTCTGGAGCACTGGGAGCATCTGTGAGAGGTGGCTTGTCTGCAGTGGTAGGGGAGCACCCTCGCAGCCATAGTGCGCGCAGCATCCACACATCAATTAGATCAGGGGAGGCGGTTTGCAATAAATCACCGCTTCAGCTTCTTGCACGCTGATTTCCCCTCGTGGACGAGCCCCATTACTTGCAGGGAATACAGCAAACTACACCAGTAGCTGTGGGAGAAGAGTGGCTTTGGCAAAGCTTTTGTCTGAACAGTTTCTGAAATCTAAGATGGAGGTTCTTGGCTCTGAGACAGAAGGACATTAAAAAGTGACTTCTGTCTCAAAGCAGACAGCTCGACAGAACTCCATTTCACACAGCCTACGGAAGATTTTGGTTTGGTTTCGGTGCAGAATGAAAAGTTGATCTCTAGTCCCACCACTTCATGGCACCTAGCATTGCCCTCTAGCCAGGCTACTTAGGAGGCAGTTTCTAGGACTGCCACCTGCAAGAAGCTCTCCGAGGGATAACCACTGTGGTGGGACTTCTAGGGAAAGATTTGAGGAGCCTGGCGATCATGTTTTCCATTTGGTGGCTTAAATTACGAAGCTGTAAGTTACACTTCTAAGCATGCAGAGTAAGTAGGGAGCGTTTTCGTTTCCGCCTAAGGAAACTAAAAATCAAACTCATGGATTCACACATTCTTTCTTTGCATTACCTAGTGCATAATAACTAGAAAAGTATTGCTTGGTGGTATTTGAAGCCAGAGGGAAACAGTGAAAAAGTTGGTCTTACTTGAGGAGCAACTTAATTCAAGTAACTCCATTCAAATCAAAGTAAAACCATTTTCCAGAAAAGCAATGCTCTAAGGCAGCCTGTCCCAAAGGAGACATTCATCATTTGGGTCTAATCCTTCATCTGGTTGATATCTCGTGACTTTTACACTGCCACAGGATCCTCCTGAACTCAATGCAACGTTTCTTATCCACAGATAATGCTCTAAAACTATCCGCATTGGAAAAAAACAAGTTGTGAGTCTTGCTGGATTAGAAAAGCAGTATGAAGTTTTATATCTCAAAAATGCAGGACATGGAAATACTAGTATGTTGTGCAGAAACATTAATATATTCATTTCTCCCCTGACATTAACAAATAACTTTAAAAACTGAATAGCAGTAGCTAAAGGAAACAATAGCAAACATATATATCATTTACAGTGTATTTAAAAATGTGATAGGATACAGTATACTCTTTTCATAGATAATTGAAAGAAAAGCTGTAGCTTACAATGAGACATTAAAGATAGGATTCATGTCACTTACTTAACTTTAATCACCTGAAGTGTAAATCTTTAATCTGAGTTAGACTATGCACTTTTTATAGCCAATAAAAAGAGAGCAAGATCTGCAGAAGACAACTCATCCTAGTCTAAAATGGGTGCCAAAGCCTCAGGGATGAGGTGCCTTCTGGAGGTACCTTTTCTTCCCCACTAATTGAGGGAGCCTGGACAGCAAGCCTAGACCAGACACACATTTTTAGATGATTAAAATTAAGAGAGAAGTAGCCCAGCGTACACATCCAGGGATCCCACAATGTTTAAAGCCCAGGGGCGATGGAGAGGAAAGCATGTGTGCCTCCTTTGCTGGTGTGTGGCTGATGGGGTGAGGCTGGGGGTCCAGGTCTGCAGAGCACCGGGGTGTCAGCAACCAAACCTGCAGACCTTGGAGAAGTTTTGGCTGCTGGATGGCTCGGCTTGCTCAGCATTTGGGAACTCACTGCTGATGAGCTCCCTCCACAAAGCTTGTGCCACTCTGGGTTTATGTGAGCAGGGAGAAACTGCAATCTGAAAAACCAGCAGTGACCTCTGGGGCTCACAGCATTAGGATGGTTCTTCCTGACAGCTTCAGCCATGCCAGATTATGAGCAATTAATTTGTCAAGCTATAAAAATAAGAGCATCTGTATATTGAAGCACTGTTCATTTAAGATAACAATGCCATACTTTTCAGCATCATAACATTTTTAATTATTCTAATTCTTCCTTTTTCCAAAAGGCCTATTCATTATTGCACCTTTAATAAATTTACAATGTGTTCTTACTTTACAAAGCTAACTATGAAAAAATGGCTATCAGGCAAACAAACTTATTCCTAACAGCATTTGACATTTTAGACAAAGGGAAGATTCCCCTGGCTCAAGATCACCATTTTTTTTTCCTGACTAATAATACGCTTTTGTCACTAATATTGACTAATACTCTATGCCTTCTCCTTCACCATTGAATTTTAACCACATTTCTTTTCAGAGATGAATTGAGGTTCCTCTCTATTGGGGATGTAGTTGTAGTCTTCCATGCACCCTTTTGCAGTGTAGCACCGCATGAAGGGAGGGAGGGCGAAAGCCGCAGTGACAGCCCACTCCCACCTGCGTGTCGTCCTGCCTCTGGCGAGCACAGGACAGTGGTGAGACTCCGGTCCTGCCGGCTTCTCATAGCCTGGTTTTTCCTTCAGGACTGGCAGCAGGCAGTCTGCCCCATCCTCCCTTTTTGACCCTGGTTCTCCCACCATAAGACTTCAGATCTGCGTAACTCCTACATGGCTGTGTCGTGAAAGATGGTGTTCAAGCTCACTTCCTTGCTTGGCCAAACTGTAGCCCCCATATTCCCAAAGGGGTCACAATTAATGTCCTTCTTCCCCGTTAGCCCAGCTGAATCTGTCAGTAGTTCTGTCTAACCAGGCTTATTTCTGCAAGCCTTTCCTTCTCTTTGACCTTTATATTTCTCTGTGTTCGCCTTTATATGACACAGGCAACCAAATTTTCAGCACCATCCCAGGAATATTAAAACAAAGTTTAATAGTCATCATCATTAGGGAAGTTTTCTTTGCTCTTAAAACTATATTTTCTCCATTTTCACTTTCATCCTGGCTCTTCTAGAGCCTCTCAGGCAGTTGGAGTAATTCCTCTGATGTTACCCTGAGACAGAAAACATAACAGTAGTCATATATCTGTGACTGTATACTCAGATTGAGCAATTTCATATTCAAAGTTTGTTTAGAAAGTGTAATTGCATTTGCCCTTCTGTGCACAGACTTCTGTATTTCTTCCCAATTTATCCCTAAACGTGTTTTGGTTCCTGACCACTGAGTTCCCTTCAGTCTGTAAAAAGCCTTCAGGCAACTGAGCTATCAGCACTACATTCATTTTTTTCCTCAATGCTGTTTTAGCAGTGCCATGAGACTTCTCAATGAGGCAGCTGAGCTTGGCCATATTCCAGTGGATGCCTTTGGGCACATGGGCTTAATTTTCTTCCTCATAGTAAACCATTCAAATCCGTATTTTCTTTTTTAAGGCATTTTGAATAGTTCTATTTTCTATTAGAAAAACAAATTACAGTAGTAAATCTATTTTAACTAGTATGGAATAAGGAGCAAAATTCATCAATATAATGTCATTTACTGAAAACCCAGTGAAATGTATCTGACTCTTCACTCCTATCTCTCTACCTGTATTTATATATTACACTACCCCATATGTGCACATCGGTTTGTGTCATACATGAAAAAAAACCCAGATTTTCTTTTTTAAAGTATATAAATTCAATTCTAGCTTAACATAGCATATCAATGAACTGACATTATGCTGGCAATATTCTAGCTCTGTTTCAATTTTTGCAAAGTTCAAAGATATCTTCCTAAACTTAGGAATTTTTTGTAAGCCCCCTGATGCCGGTAGCCTCCTCATGGCCTCTCCTCCTCCCTGCTCTCATAAAGTTGCACTGCTGCACCATGGGGCTCAGGGAGACCCGCAAGGCTGGGAAGAGACTTCAGTATCTTCCACTTACAGAAGTTTGTGGATTGGTCCCAGTCCAAGCCTTAATCTACGGTGCATTTGTACTTGGGAAAAGTCCACTGATTTTAGTGAAGCTGATGAAGCTCATGGAAATGTGTTTGTTCAAAAATTTGGTTTCATGAAATAAGTACGTGCCATGAAAAATATCAGTGTGATGCTGAGCAGGCCCATGATGTTCAATGTGTAAATACTTCCTAGCACTTTGTGACTCCAGCTAGAAACACAGCAGGGCAAACTCCGTATCTAATCTGAGCATATCACTAACCTGTGGTTTTAATAGGCTAGACAATAACAGTGTGTTAAAATCAAATATCTTACCAGTTTCCAGAGCACTGGTGCCTGCAGGTGCTGTACACTTCCCGCTCTCACAGACAGCAGATATCACAGGGCTTGGTCCATAGGGAAGGGGTAGAAATCTCCTCACCTGATGTCATTCAGCACCCGCTCCAAAACAGCAACCCTCATGCTGGATGAATCCTTCTCTGGAGGTGCCTGTCTCCCGCCCGAGACTGCAGAGGAACCTACATGATGACTTAAGCCTGATTAGGCTAGCTGCACTGAACCCAGTCTAATTCAGCAAAACACTGAAGCACAAGCACAAATACCTTGTTGCTCATCTAAGCGCATGGGTATGCATTTCATTTGATCATCAGCTTGTGCAGAGGTCAGTCCGACGTGCATATGTTTACATTTCAGAATGTGCTTAATTCAGGGCCTAGGATGGTTTGTTGTACTAGGGCCTTAAAAACTGATTTTAGGTCTAGACAAGGTGGTCAATGGCTGTTCAATACAAATTGTTGGTATACTGCAGCCATGCCCCATGGGGGAAAGCTATACCACCCCCCTGCATTAAAAAAACCTAAGCTAGTATGAAAAACATCATTCACTTGAAGGAAGTATTTTCAAATTGTCCATGGGCATCATGAAAACTTGAGGCATTTCAACCAAAACGGTGTGAGATACAGGCATATGAAAAAAGGAGTTTGGAGTGGAAACCACAGTAGTCAGGACTGTTAACAATAATTACCCCCGAGTGATTTTTAAAACACAGGGGTTTTTTTACTTACTAAATTGAAGGTACATGTTGCAATTCTACTCTTCTTCCACTCTCTCTTTCACAAAGTTGATTTAGAATTGATTTTCATTTCTCAAAGTGTTCATTATGAAGGGAGCCCATAAGTATGCAGTGAAATCCCACTGACTTCACGGCCTTTAAGGGAAGCAGACGTGTAACTGTCGTGTCCATCTCTTCCCCTATAGCTCCCTACTGCTCTCATTACAGTTGAAGCCAAATACTCACTTGACAAAGCAATAGTGAGTACTTCTCTGCTTTGTGGTCTGCTTCTCTGCTCCGGCAGACTGTGTGTCTTCCTTTCTTCTTTAACATCTCAGACACCTAAAAAACCCTGTTAGATTTTTATCTCCTTGATCTTTTTTATAGTGTTACATCCTGAGCTAATGGTACTGTAGTATATGCAAAGAATTTCCATTTTTTTAAAGTCTAATAATCTGTAGTTAAAATTACTTTGGAGAATATTGTTACAGCTGTGTTTGAGTTACTAAAAATCAGATTCTTGGTGGTATAATTTGATATAAAACTATTTCATTATCATAATCACTAGGAATTAAATTAGAATTATAAACCAACACTGGCTCAGGAGTTAAGTCGTATGAGCTAGAGAAAATTAGGCTGACTTGCACTCCAGTATATAACTTCCACTTTTTATTCTGTACGTACAGATTAAGTAATAGTCTTACTAATAGCCCAGTTCTGATTTTAAACTGCAGTAGCTCTATTTATTAATGGGGGTTATTACTAGCTTTCACTGGCATGAAATCACAATTAGGCTTCCTATCTTAATTTCTCTCAGTATATTATTTGGCCAGAAGTTATACAGCAGAAGCACATCACTCTGGATGCTACGAACTAAATGAACTCTCTAGGGAAGAATTTTTTGTTTCAGTGAATCAAGTTCATAGCTGAATCTGTACAAGCAATAGAAGCTGCAGGTATGCATCAAGGACAGAATTTGGGTCCATCATCAGCCACAATTGTGTATTTAATATTCTAGGAGTAAATCCAGATTAGAGTGATTGCTGTTTCTCTAATTGACTGTAGCGACCTGATACGAAGCCTCAAATTACAGTGATTGGTTTCCAAAAAGTCTATGAATAGAATTACTGCCTGTGTGGGACTGCTTGCCAAAGGGCTTGCAAGTGTAGTGTTTTATATTAAATTGGATAAGAAATAATAATAAAAATAATAAGTAATAATAAATGTATTTTTTCAGAGTCACTTTTCTGTGAAGAAAGGAGCTGCAGCCTTGGGTATTGGTACAGATAGTGTGATTCTGATTAGATGTGATGAAAGGTAAGTAAAGATGCCAAATACAGCTCTTTTTATCGGTACATAGAAGATCATCAGGTGCTCAGCTCAGAGAGAGCATACAGGATGCAGTCAACAGTTGGTATAATTCATCATAGTGCTATCATCTTTAGCAGCCTTACAGTGATTTATCCTGCTTGAGGAACTGACTCTGTCAGTAGCTTCTTTGCAAGTCAGTTTTTGGAGCTCATCAAAAATCTTAAAGTTCCCTTCCTCAGGGATTTCTGATATTGCTTTTTCTTTCATCCTGAAATGAAACAAAAAGTCCAACTAACAATCATTCTTTACACGTTCTGCTAAGAAACGAGGAAGAAGCCTGTTTTGGTCAAAATGGAGCATTTAGACACATTTTGATCCATTAAAATGAACTGAAGTGAGCCTTTTAAAGCAGTAAAATATTAAGGCGCATTTGCTAATGTAATTCTATTACTTCATGCTCTCACCATCCTTCTCAGCTGGACCACACATTTCCCCCAGTGCCTTTGACGGGGACACCCCTGCGATGGGATGTGGAGAGAAGGGTCTTGGCAGCATTGTGGGCAGCATAGGCCAAGGAGGGGGATGGTCCATGGAAAGGAGTAGCACAGCAGGCACCTAACCTACAGGTCTCATCAGCAGTACGAAACCGGTAGTAGATAACTTCTTGCTTAACTCACCCAACTAAAAGGTTTTGATTCTCTATGAAAACCCATTTTGAGAAGGCAAAGGAATATTAACAAAATCAACATGTTCTGATGAAGATTTTAAATTTTAGGGAAAACATGCTTTCTATGGGACAAAAATTAATAGAACAGTCCTTATGGTTTCTACTGAGAATCTTTTCAATAGAATATGCTCTTACTATGAGTCCCAAATATCATTGTTATAAGGTATTGAATTATTTATGGCTCTAGCGTAAATGGAAGGTTTTACTGCTATCAAAATACTCTGCTCCCACATTAAAAGAAGAGCATCAACTAAGCAATTTACAGTGCTAATCACAGCATCTGCATATTGACTTACGGGCTTATTATCTCTTTATTAACAAAAGACTGAGCACACCTTGAAGAGGAATTAATGACAACATCAACACAACCAACACACATCAAAATAAACCTCCAATTGTTTCTGTTCACTAAACACAGACGTGGATCAATGAAGTCACGTCTTCCTTTTCTTCTTGTGCAAATTCAGCGTGATGATTTTCTGTGAAGACCACAATGCTTACCCTGCCCACCCTGAAGTAAACAGCAGGATTACTGCGTGTCTCACCAAGTCCCAGCAGACACCACTGGGACAAAGCGGGCTCTTTGCACAGGATGTGGGCTTGTGCAGTGGAGAGGACCCTCTGTGAAGATCTGGGCCTGTGGGAGGGTGAAGGAGCACCATGAGATCTTTTTGATGTTTCCAGCATGACCAAGCACACTTCTTGGTGGCTCTTCTCTTCTCCGTCCTGACCCACACCTGCCAAGTTTGCCTTGTTTTGTTGTATCATGGGACTATGTAAATGTGTGGTGAATTTCAAACCAGGAGAACATGCAGAAAATCATGTTCTTGCTCATACCCCAGACTGAACAACCATATATTTCCATTGCCTCTTTTACTACCATGCAGACATCTTGGTAGCAGTAGCATATTACATGCAGGTTTGGGGTCAAAACACTTTAGTGTGGTGTGGCAGCAGTGAAGACTGTGTGCAGGTGTGGGTAATATGAGAAGACTTAGACACCAACACTTACTCTATGCTTGGTGTCCTTTTGCTGCTGAGTCTCTTCTGCCTCTCCCAAAGCCAACCTACTGCTTGCTCCTTGGTAAAGCTTGGCATACTCAACATGACCAGGGGCTAGATAATCACTTGTCTTGGTAAAAAAATTTTGGCAATGAAGGGTTCTGCCCAGCTCTGTGTCTGTTTGTATGCACAAGCTCAATAAATTAGAAGCCATTAAAGACCAACATCTAAACTATGTTTGGAGGAGGAACTCATTGCCTTCCTTTGGCATGCTTTTTTTTTTCTTTATTCTTCTAATGATCCCAGAAACAGTTTTTGAAGATAAGACAACTACTGCTTTTCTCTGAACATGTCATGTAACTGGGGAGAGCTCACAATGAGTTGAATACTCTTTAGACCTTGAATTTCTATGAGAAAAATCAGGGCTAATTTTTAGACAGATTTTGCAAAAAACTCAGCAGTGCAAACCCATTTCTACTGAAATAGTTACTGACTTATTGTGAGCTGTGTAAGGATGAAAACTTATAAAACCTAGCAGTATCTTACTACAAGAAATTAATTTCTTTTTTTTTTATTTACATCCGTCCAAATGTCATGAAAACGCTTCAGGGGTTTTTTTTAATGTAAAAGTAAAACTAAAACTCGTGGTTTTATTTGTTTCCCTAAAACTGCTATTTTGAGTTTTAGTAAAGGGGGTTTTTTATAGCAACAGGAAACAATGCTTGTGATAGAAAAAAATGTGTCCAACTGTACTAAAAACTGAAAAAGTCCTTCAAAGTACATATACGCATAAAAATCTAAATGGACAACACTTAAATCCAGTGAAGAGTTTATTCCTGTAATGTGGGGAGCTGTCATGTTTGTATTGCTGTTACGCATACTCTCTTCTTAGCTAGTCTTGCTTGTGGCTAAAGCAAAGAAAAACTTAACCTCAATATTCAATATCAGCACTGTTTTACCTTGCACCTAATTCATTTACAGGATTTCATAAATTAGCCTTCAGGCCTTATACTGCTGAGTCTGAATCTTATGTGAATGGTTCATACTAAATGTGTTGCAAATACAGTATACAGTCAACACAAAGGGCCTGACAGTGCGTTTAATGAGTCCAGACTAGTGGCTTCTTCTCATATCCTGCTTCAAGCAAATGCAAACATGTAATGCACCAAACTGTGGAATAGTTGCCCTGAAATGAGTTCATCCCTCAGATAGAAACACGGAAACGACTGCTTACACCAGAGCTGAGTCACGCTGCTCAAGGCCATGCAGCTCAGCTGGCATTTTTTGTGCCTGCTGAAAGGGGAGCGTGGGGTTTGGCACCCAGCAAGCTTCTTGGGACCCTGGGCTAAGCCTCTTCCTGGGAGCCTGGAGCATATTCCCAGGGCTGTAACATCAAACAGGACCAGGAGGCTCCATGGAGCAGCATCAGTCTTTAATAAGGGTGGCCATGAGATAACTTGTCTCAGTTACCATCACCATATTGATGCAAGCTGGTTGACAAAATAATTAGGGTAAAAACTCAGATTAATGGTCAGAGTCTTTCTGTGCTCTTCAGTGCTGCATAAGCCTTAGGCAAAAAGTTCCTTATTTGGGTTTCCTGTTAAGTGAAGAAGTAACAGCAAGAACTGATTTCAAGATCAAATTTCTAATAGAACTCTCTCTTGCTCCAGAGGGAAAATGATCCCATCAGACCTTGAAAGAAGAATTCTTGAAGCCAAACAAAAAGTAAGTTTACTAGCTTTTCTGCTTCCAAAGAAAAAAAACCCAAGAATGATACAGCTAGCTGTTTTGCTTTCCTTGGTAAAACAACATAGGCTTGCCCATTAACTTCTGATTTATTTCTCAGAAATGTAGCCTGGCAATTAGTGAGGCAAGAGTTGCTGACAAAATAGGTTTAGAGCTACTTTATAATTTCCATGAGCTATTTGGCTTTTTTTACATGTTCCTCTGCATAACATCCTCCTTTTTTATATTATCAGCCTATGATGCAGTTCCTCAGCTGAATATTGGCAAAAACAGAGTAATCATTTGGATAATTTGTATGTATTTTAACATGTTGAAAGTATTCCTCATAGTTATCAAAACAATGGAAGATAAACTAAAATCCACACATCTCTCAAAATGCACTACTTTTGTATGTGTTCATTAATAGAAGCTAGAATTAAAACAACAGATTACTAAGTATGCAATGAATTTAGCCCTGTGCCTTCAACAACATTTATGTAAATAATAATTAGAAACACAGCATTCAAAGCTCATTGATAACACAAATCTTCATTAAAAGCTTCCTTTGGCTAGGAAAAGCAATATAGTAGATAAAAATGAAAGGCAACATGGCAACAGAGTACCACCCAAACCTACTGACCACGTACTTCACTTTGCAGAGGGAAGTTTAGACCTTTTCGATAGTTTAAACCCCAGCTCTGCAAAAAATGTAGCCACTCTTTACCTTTGTTGCTCTGAGTACTGCTGATGAAATCAACAGAACTACAAATGAATTTAAAATGAAACACTGGTATAAATTATGGCATGCGGCGGACAGTGAGTGCTGCTCTGTGAGGCACAACATTTAGCAGAGGGAATCCAAGAGATGGTCCCTGGCCTCCGTGGAGATTGCTGTCTCCCTGCTCTGCAGGAGGGATGGGGCTGGAGGTGAGCCCCACACCTCCCCTGTGCATTGCCCCCAGGGGACACCCCCAGACAAGATGCTCCCACTGACAGGACTGGGCCACCACACGTTCAGATGCTCACTGGGATAATTATAATACAGCCCAGGGCACAGTTCACCAGAGATATTTCTTGCACTGTGGTGCCTGGGTGAGGTTTGTTTTATGCAACATCATGCAGAGCAGACCTCTTTGTTTCAGGCAGGTGGCATGGGGCAGAATTGTTCTTCTGAGCCCTTACCTGTCTCATGCATCCTAATAAATGGAGCATGCTGGTTTGGAAGTTTGCTGCCACCTTAAGGTAGAAACTATAATATCACTGGCATCTAAACTAAGAGAAAACCAGTGTAATGTAGCAGGGATGTCCTCTAGGAGACACTTGTGGGCTCACCGTGGAGGCAGCACAAGAGGAGTTGGGGCTGCTGCGGACTGAGGAGGCTGCAGCACCCTGACCTTGCCAAATACCTCTGTGCTTTCTTGCAGGGATTTGTTCCTTTTCTGGTGAGTGCCACAGCTGGGACAACAGTGTACGGGGCGTTTGATCCTCTCATAGCTATTGCAGACATCTGCAAGAAATACAAAATCTGGATGCACGTGGATGTAAGTATCATCTTATGTAGGGGGTTGGATTACAAGGTGTATTAGCATTAATTTATTCATTTTGGACAGCGTCATCTTGTACAAAAACCGTTGTATTTGGTTCCATTAATTAAGTCTAACATCCAGGCACTGACTTACCACTCCTCTGAAAGGCTAAGGTAAGGGGGACATTTTAGGAGCTGTGACTGCACGGTACTTTTAGCAACTGGGACACTTAAGATGACCTAGTTTGAGGGCTTTTGGCCTTCAGTTTTATCTCTAAACTAAGAGAAAACCAGTGTAATGTAGCAGGGATGTCCTCTAGGAGACACTTGTGGGCTCACCGTGGAGGCAGCACAAGAGGAGTTGGGGCTGCTGCGGACTGAGGAGGCTGCAGCACCCTGACCTTGCCAAATACCTCTGTGCTTTCTTGCAGGGATTTGTTCCTTTTCTGGTGAGTGCCACAGCTGGGACAACAGTGTACGGGGCGTTTGATCCTCTCATAGCTATTGCAGACATCTGCAAGAAATACAAAATCTGGATGCACGTGGATGTAAGTATCATCTTATGTAGGGGGTTGGATTACAAGGTGTATTAGCATTAATTTATTCATTTTGGACAGCGTCATCTTGTACAAAAACCGTTGTATTTGTTTCCATTAATTAAGTCTAACATCCAAGCACTGACTTACCACTCCTCTGAAAGGCTAAGGTAAGGGGGACATTTTAGGAGCTGTGACTGCGCGGTACTTTTAGCAACTGGGACACTTAAGATGACCTAGTTTGAGGGCTTTTGGCCTTCAGTTTTATCTCTAAATGCCATTAGTACAAGAAATGTATAAGAACCATACTGAGCACTGGCTCAGCTTCGGCAGCAGCTGCAAAATAAATACATAATGAAAAAGGCTACATTTGTCTGGAATAAAGTACCGCAAATTGCTGAACAGGTTAATGCAAATGCTAGAGAAATTTATCAGATTGGCTCCTTAGCTTTATCTGGGCTCTTGCCAATAAATCTTTCTGAAGGATCATCTTTCAGCCCTAGAATGGCTTTTGTGTCATTTTTGCAAATCCTTTCTCCAAAAAGGCTTGGTAATTGAATTTCCGTAAGGCTGGATATCTTGCTTTTGGATTACTTTGTCAGCCAAAATCACTCCAATTCAAAGGAAGAATTCATGTTTACCTTAAATTACTTCTCAGTCACATGAAACGCCTGCTTGTCCCAGATCTCTGTGAGCAAAAGCAAATGAGCAGGGGGCAAGCAGTAGTGATCTGAAATATGATGAAAACTCACCAGAGCAGCTGAGATCCCAGTCTGGTCTGTTATCATCACGTAGTCACTAAAAGAGAAAAGGCAGCTTACCCAGGAGCAGCTCTGCAAGTCATTAATTAGTGTGGGGCAGCCCAATGTGTCAGTGTCAGAGGAGGTGGCGAGGGAGGGGTTAGCAGACGATAAGGGATGGCACTCGGATTATGGGCTATAAACCACTGCTTCCAAGCTACTGGAAGAAAATTGTTAGTACAGCTAATGCCTCAGGCCCCATCTGCCTGGTCATTTTGGAACGCGCCACATCAGCAAGAAGAAAGAAAGGGCCCCAAACTGATGTGAATGCACAGATGTCATCACGGAGAAACGCAGAGTTGTCTTCTCATTAAGATGTGTCTTGCCTTCTAGGGAGCATGGGGTGGCGGGCTCCTGATGTCAAGAAAACACAAATGGAAGTTAAATGGCATTGAAAGGTATAATTTATTAACTTTAATTAAATACATTTATTAAATTTTACATTTTAACACACTTGTGATTACCATAGCAATGTCTATAAATAAAAATCGATGTTCTCTCCAAGATACAGTGTGAAGAACTTGTGCAAACTGTCCTTCCAGTTGAAGTAGCATTGCTACGTGCCTTTGTTCAGTGCTACAGTAGTGTGGCACTTTGTTTTGTCGTACAAACAGCAGACAGTTCTTGTTTGCTTTTTCATTCCTTCCAGCATACATGTGCAGCTCCAGAGTGGTTTCTGCAGCATCCACTGGTTCAGTGTCCAACATGAATTAGCAATTGCATTCCTCTAAGAAATGAATCTTGGAGGTCTTGCATGCTGAAGTCTAAGTATAAAAGGTGGATGCACCTTCAGTTTGGACAGGTGTCCTGGCAGTCACTGACCACTGCTCTGTCACTTCTGGAGAGAATATCCCCCTCCAGGCTGTGTTAATGACATCTTCTCAGTAAATCTGTGTTTGGATATACATAGTCGTAGTCATGAGCTCATGAACATTGCACATACACACAGATGAACATAAGTGATGCCAGTCCAGTTCAGAGTCTGGAAAGACTGAATTTAAACTTACAAACAGCTGCTTATTCAGAAATTTTTAGTTAAGCTGTGGAACTCCTTGCCATAGGATGTTAAGATTTACCTGCGTTCAAGGGAAGACAAATAAAAACCATTCGGGACTTCTGTGAGCCACAAATGACTGGAGGCTCAGAGAACATTTGGAGGAAGGTCGTATATGCTTGCCCTGTTTTGTGTGCTTCCCAGGCACCTATTAAGGCCACTTGCTGGAGACGGTACTCTGGACTAGATGGAGTCACTCTCACATTTGTGTATTTTCTGAAGCTCATGCTGTTCAAGAGTAAATTATTATTCCATTCCGCCTTTTTTATCTCTAAATCGAATTGCTGTTCCTTGCCAATTAAAATTACAAACAACTTCCTCATCCTGTTCCTGAAGATTAGGAGGATACCTTGATGATTCAGTTCCTTTCTCATACATCTCACATGCAAAATTTGGAAATCGGCCAATGGTTCTATGAATTCAATTGAGTTAAGTTAAGACTGCCTCCAGCACTCCAAACTTACATATTGTGCATTAAAAGGATATGCATCCAAATATCCAGCAAGTTAGAAAAATCTACCCAGTTGCCTGTGAGGACAGAGCATGAAAAAAAGAGTTTGCTTCCCAAATTGCTGTCCAAATTCTGCTGGAATGAGAAGTTCAGGTTGAATCTATATTGGACAACTTTCCAAATAATACGCTTTAGATCCAAAACTCCACTGGATTTTATCTAGTGCTTTGATAAGCAACATCTCCATATGTTTGGCAGTGAATTAATGAAGTTTGTCATTTCCAATGCTGTTCCTCTGCTTGATGGACACAGCAGCTCATTTCAGTTTGTCAGATTTCAAATGTGGGTATCTTTAGAGGAGACTTACTAGACCCAACTTTTATGGACATTCCTGTTTCATGGTAGATACTAGAGTACAACCCAGTCATTACAGGTCTGGATAGAAGAGAACTGGAGCTGTTATTCATGTTTGATAGGGGAGAAAGGGACAAGGAGGAGGGAGCATTAAATGGAGCACTCTGTGCTCTGAGTACTCCCATCCTTCTGGTAACAGACAGTCCAGAAAAATACTCTTGTCAAAGGCAGGAGGAGTTGCAGGACCATCCTCACGGTGCCCTCCAGTCCCCACATGGCAGATTTCAAGCTGCTCCAAGGCACCCTGAACGCCTGGTGTCTGGAGCAGATCAGTCTGGCCACCGTCAGGAGTTTCGGTCTGGTGTCCCTCTCCCAGAAGCTGGGGCAGGGGGTGACAGCTACACGTGAAAAGCATGTTTGCAGCTGAATGAGTGCTCTCGTACAGGGTCTGGGCATCCTTTCCGGGGCTGTGGCTGGTCAGTGAATGCACCTCAGTCTGTTTTTAATGATGGCTGAGGACCAAATTCTGCCAGTCTTGAATCTCTCCTGTCATCCGTTTGAAATCTCTAAAGGAAAACTTCTCTTTTTTTTTTCTGTCTGTGACCCACAGCCAAAAAATCCCATAGCTGCTTGGTGCTCAGTTATTTGGGTGAACGTGAGATGCTTTAAAAAAACATCTGTGGATACATGTAGCTTTTTTCCTTCACTGTTTGGCTCAGTCAGCAATTTCTTCAAGCAGATACTGATGGCTGAAGCCCAGAATGACTGGTAACAAATGAAAAATGGTGGATTTTTATTTTACATAATTAATTTTTTTCTATGTGCAGTTGGGATGTAATTGGGGAAATAAATGACCTTAGGGTAAATTAAATGTTTTAGGCAGATAATTAACATCTGGCTGTTGTCAGTAAATAATCCTTTTGCGTGAGAAAACCCATACCACTACTATTACCTAGAAGTCTTTTAAAGAATTTCTGCCTGATTCTGCGTAGACACAGATAAAAATTAAAAAGTATCGTATCAAAGGAAATTCATAGACCTGAGTGCACGTTCAGAATCATTAGCTTTGGTGTTGCAATCAGATGACTGACTCTGAGCTGATTAAAAGCTGCCAAATACTCGAAAAGCCAAGCCAAGTGGCCAGATGTTGCCTGTGTAAGCCTGTTCCCTACAGATTTTGCATCAGACACTTGCGCAGTCCCATTTAAATAGCAAAGAAGAAAGCACAGAAGTGCTGCCCGGTGTCCATGCGAATTTTGGAGTTGCTTGCTTTGAAGGAGTGAAAGCAATTTGGCAGGAAATGATAAGGACTTGCATAAACCTATAGCGCTGTCTCCAAATCCTACAAAGAAAAATACTGCCAGATTCCAACATGCTCACCTCTGTTCACATAAGTGTTACCTGCAAGTGTGTCCTGGGTCCTTTAAATTTCACATGCCCCAGTTGACTGTTTTATACCATCAAAATTCAAATCACTGCACTACATGAAATCCTGTGCACTATGCATCCTTGACAGCCTGCCAAATAGGACACAAATGTATACATCTATCAGCTAATCATATGTAATAATAGTAATTAACAAATAGCCAGTCAAGCATAACACAAAATTAAAATAATAAACAACTGGACAATCTTCCATTCAGCCCTCGCCACAGTCCCAAATGTCTCTTCTCTAAGCTGTATTGTGACAGGACCCTGTTTGTTCACAAGATCTGGGCTGACAGTTATTTTTGCAGTGAATGTGTCCTGAAGGGAGGCAGGATCAGGCTCTTTTGTGGAAGCGTGGATCAGTTCTATGTTTATTACTATGGTAATTTTGGACCCAGGCCTTCAGTTGTGTGAATTATCATAGCCAAACTAAAATGAAGGAGCTATGAAAATTTACCATCAGCAGAACACTGAGAAAAATTACTTTGGGCCAGGTTTTCCAAGTTACTCAGAGACTCAGAGGTACCCAGAAGTATTTAAGGGAATTTTCAAAAATGCCTATGTGAGCTACTTACTAAAATCTTACTGAAACTGGAATCAATGGGAGGGAGTATGCTAGTTTGCCAGCTTCCTATCTGCATCTTTAATCAGCTGTGCGACTTTAGAAAGTTCATCAGTCAGGTGGGTGTTTTTGTCCTATGTTTATGAAGTATAGATGACTCCCCAGAAAGTTTAATACTGATGAAGTTCAGTGGATAGAGCCATTGTCCTGCGGTAAGTTGCCAGAATTGTCATCCAAAAACCAACTAGAGTGGATTAGTTCCCTTATGAAGGCATTACTTTCCTAGTATCTGCCATGATTATTTTCAGCTTTGCTTGCTCAGAAAAAGAAGAAAGTGCGCATTACTACACATTCATTATTATTAGTACTAAATGTCTCCATCGTTTCACCACCATAGTACGATGTCTGAGTTTCATGTGGTTTGCTGTCCCAGGGCCAATTCGGTGACCTGGAACCCTCACAAGATGATGGGTGTCCCGCTGCAGTGTTCAGCCCTGCTAGTAAGAGAAGAGGTATGTCCCAATATACTCACTTCTCTGATCTTTTCTGACATTTTGCTTCTGAAAATACTGGATGTTTTCCTCATAACTGTGTCATAGCTATTTGCTAATGTGATGAGGATTATAAAAGAAACTGAGAAGTAGACCTCTAGTTACATGCTCAGGCTGTGACTGCAAAAGGAATTAAAGCAGCTGTCTAGCAGAAACGATAGATCCAATTAATGGCAATGTCTCTACAGAGTTTGTGGCTTTCCATTCAAAATATCCATAGTTAAGTTGTGGGTGCACAGCTGTGTAACCCCACTAGTTTCTGTGTAGCATAAAATGTAGCTGTAGGCAAACTGTAGTCCTTTTAGGATAAATGCTATGGTATACATGCAACATGACATTTGGTCCAGAATCTAGACATCATTATACTTTCTAGACTTTTATGGTAGATATTTCAGCCCAACTCTGATCCATATATCCACTTTGGGGTATGTGGAAATAAAAAGGGAAGACTAAGATCACTTGGAATAAAAAGTAGACATTTCATTTAGTACTAGAATTTGAATTACCCTTCAAGCCTGTAATTTTCATATAACCATCAGTTACTGGGACAGCCGCTATACAACCACCACTTACTAGACAAGCTATCAAAAAGCTGGTTGCTGTTTTGCTGACAGCTGTACAACAGATTGTATACAAAGTGATTGCACTTAGGAAGAGAGAAGCTGGCTTTTATTTGCCCTCTGGGTCAGTTCCCCGAGACAAATCCTGCCTGGTTGAAGTCAGTACCATCCTTGACCTCTAGTAAGAACAGGTGGCTCAGATTAGGAGAAAGGCAATTTTTTTTTTCCCTCTCATTTTACTATCTCAGTTTTGAATTACACATAAAGATTAGACTTGATGATAAACAGCCAAGTTTTGATTCTTCTTGGACTCAAAATTGCAGTTTCAGGCAACAGCCGTAAGGTATACCTTAAACTTGGTTGAGGACTTAACTAGAGCCAGAACATGACTCTCTGCATTTCACTTAAAAAGCTAAAAAGGAAACCTTATTCTTTCATGAGCCAGGTTTCTTCACCTTGTTGGCTTCTGGCCCTCCCACGAAGCTGCCTCTCAAAATGGTATCTTGCAACCCAGAAATAGCCCTAGCTGGCTGTTTAAAGACCATATGCTCTTCTGTCTGTTCAAAGCTTTCTATACCACTTAAGGATCCAATCTGCAACTGAGGGCTTTGCAGAAAAGAACTGTGCCTACAAAGAAAGAAAACAATGAAAATCAGAATTTTAGAGACCAAAGCAATTAGAAAAGTGGTGTGATATTATTTAGATTAGTCATCAAATTGGCTTGGTCTGACTCAACCAGAAAAAAAGCCTTCCAAGGAAAGGAGGAAAAGGAACCAGAATAAGGAATAAAAAGTGAGATCCAAAAATGAACTTATGCACAATGATGTTAGGAAGCACAATGTCCAGCTTTTTTTTTAAAAATGCCTTGGCTCTGGGAGTGGATTACACGTTGCTGGGTCAGGTACGAAGGTGTCCTGGGCACTGAATGGGATATGAAAAATTTAGTCCACTGAGCAACTAAGTCTGGTTTTGTCTCTTTTTTTGATCTTCCTTTTGCACTTGGACTATACTCCACTGAATTTGGGTGTTTGTAATTTTTTGCCCAAAGCAACCCTCAAAGCAGTAGTCACATCTGTGCCAACATCACTTTTTTGTGCCTTTGTTTTTATAAGGGATTGATGCAGAGTTGCAATCAAATGCATGCTTCCTACCTCTTTCAACAAGACAAGCACTACGACCTGTCTTATGACACAGGAGACAAGGCTTTGCAATGTGGACGGCATGTTGATGTCTTCAAGCTATGGCTGATGTGGAGGGCAAAGGTAGGACTGCCTGCAATATATTTGTTTGCTTTAAAATAATGCACACCAGATACAGGGTTTTATTCCATAATCATCATTTTAGAGAATATCTGACCTGAATTTCCCATTTATAACATGAAAGAAAGAACATTATTATTTTCTGGTTTTTCATACTTTTAACAATTTAGCTTCAAAGCAGCACACATGATTTTGAAACTTGAACTCCATGGCTTTGCATAGCATTTGCTTTGTGTAACTGTAGGAGTCTAACAGCATAAATCATATACCTAAGAATGTTGTTATGAAGATTTCTCAAAATAAAAAGATGTTTTAATGACATTCAGAAACTAAACATGGCAAATCAGGACTGGAATACCTAGTTTCATTGCATGCAGTAGATACGAAGTCATCTTTTGAAGGAGCAGAGGAAAACTCATCAAAATCTGTTCTCTGGGAAATCTGAAAATACCAGCTCTAATGATTAATTAATCTGTATTTGTAGAATGTTGCTAAATAAGTTCTTCCATATATTTATCCAACCTATTATGTCAAGTTGCCTCAGGTTTGTTCAGAGGAGGTGACATCACTGTTTTCATTTCCAGAAAGCCTTAAAGATCCTCATGTACTTCATGAAAACTCTGAAAGCAATTCTGAGACCGACATCAAATGTAGCTGGAGGTGTGGGAGTCTGTAAAGGAGGATGCAAGTTTCTGTGGTCGCAATAGCTGTTGTGCTAACTGGGGTCTCCAGAGTGGCAGGCAATTTTAGCCACATGTCTCTAACTCCAAGCCTTTCTCCCAGGGCTGTGCTAGCTCTACCCTGTTTTGAAATCTCTGTACACAGAGAGATAATGTCAGGGGCTTTTAAGTCAGTTCTGCGCTGCCAGAACAGATTTAGCAGGGACGTGCATCCATTACTCAGAGACATTTCTTCTTCTAAACCCCATTTTTTCAATATGCCTTGTACTGCTTTTTCTCTTCTCACACTCCGCTTGTAATATTAACGTTACAAAATAGGATGTGTGTTTCTTAAACAGTTTATCTATTCCAGCTGTTTATTCCCCTTCCTCCCTCATAAAGCTGGATCCTTTGTTTGTGGCATCACAGCTGGTGATTGCAGGAACAATTATGATGTCACAGAGAGAGGATTATGACTCTTGCCAGAGAAGAAAAAGCAGGATTTGCTGCAGCTCTTAAAAACAGCTTCTGAGTTTATATGGTGTCAATTAGAAAAGAAGAGAGAAAAACACTACAGAGGCAGGGCAGTATCTAAACAAAATGTGCATTTTCACAGGCATCAGGCCGGGCTCTAAAAGCATATCTGCCCCATTCTGTGTTTAATTAAAAAAGATAAATTATTCTTGGAAAAGCCCCCAGCCCATCACCTCTGGAAGATTAAAATCCCATGTTTTGAAAATAGCAGGAGACTCCCCATGTCTGGAACTCGGCACCTTCTAGAGACCCTCCTCTGCGCCAGCTCAGGCTGTCCGAAACCGTGCTCAGCCTCTACAAAATCTACCAACGAGGGCACCCTTCATCGGAGGTGTTAGCAATATTTTGCTGAGAACCGAGCTAGTACCCAGTGCTTATTTTGCAGAGGTGGCTATAAGGGAGTCAGTGGCAAGAGCTAGAGACAAAGGAGCTCTGCTTAGCGATGTGCCCTTCGTCTCGTAGAATCAAATCCTTAATCTGTCCCTTCTGACAGATTAGGATGTCGGAGAAGACTCAGAAGAGACTTCTGAGAGGTGACTTGTGCTGGTGCTTTGGCAAGTGCTGCATGGTCCTTTCACTGTTTCGGTTCACAGAACAGATAGTCCCATAACTTTTTTTCTCCCTCTGTCTCTAAAGGGATCCACAGGATTTGAAGCACAAATTGATAAGTGCTTGGAACTTGCAGAATACCTATACAATAAAATAAAGAACAGAGAAGGGTATGAAATGGTGTTCGATGGAAAGGTATGTCTTGCAACTTCTTTCTCCCAGTTGGTCAACAGCGCTTGCCTTAGTCACCTATTGGGATGCTACCAACAGGTCAAACCAAACAGCACGTGACAGAAAGCAGCATCCCTTGTAACAAAACCTGTTACTGTGCCAATATCTCTCTTCCTCATGGGATCCAGGGACAAGGGAGATGAGGCAGCTGTACATAAGATTTCAGTTTGCACAGTTTCACCCCACTGAAACTAAACACTGGCATCTCAGGCTAACACAGCACACACACAATTAGAACCAGCTCTTAAGTAATAAAAACAAGTTGTGGTTTCCTAATAGCAGGGTCTGTTATGAGTGGAGGGTTACAGTGCCCCACACAACTCTGAAAGGATGGTTGTGCAAAGCACTTTTATCAGCATCTTCAGGTGGGCAGTCACAGGGGACCTGGGGTGACCTGGGGAGGCTGCTGCGATGGGGTGCAGTACAGCGGGGCAGGGGCTGGTGTTGCTTGGGAGCCCAGCTGGCTCATGTGGCAGAGGTGACACCACCATGTGGGATGCAAATATCTCTAGGTATGTTGTTTCTCTTGAGGGAGTCCAGCTGAGATGGGACCCTTGGGTGCCAGGTGCTCAGCTGGAGCATAGTGCCCAGGGCAAGGTAGTGCTGCCTGGGTTGTGTGGCTATACCTCTGAACCGCACCGGACTGTCCCGTGTTTGGCCAGCTCTTTGTGGGCAACCCTCTCTGGCTGTGATGGCTGGAGACAGGCCTGGTAGAAACCTCTGTTGCAAAGTTAACTGGTGTTTTGCCTATAAAAGAGAAAAAAAAGATGTCATTTTAGCTTTTTTCCTCCTACTTGTGATGGTTTCTGGTCTCTGTACTTGCCCTGGAAGGTTTTGTCTCTCAGAACATTGCTCCCTGGTAGTGATCACTTAGTGCATGCCTAAGTGCTCTGCAGCACAAGGATAAACGTCACCATGTTTCTTCAGAGATCACAGGCTCATAGCCACATGCCACTATGTGATTTATGTCCTGCACCTTATATATCATCACTGAATTTGGTCCACTGGGTCTGATGATGAGTAAAGGAACCAGCAGCAGCAGGAGTTGCTGTAACTCACACATTTAGCACCCAGCAAAGAGGAACGTAGCAAGGGAGGCAACTGTTGGGAGATTGCAAAAATACACAATTTGTCAACTGGTTCTTACTTTATGCCTTTCTACTTGGTGCTCCCATATAAGTTAAACTAACTAAGACGCTGTGGTGCATGCATATTAATACGGCAGCTAGCTGAATCAAACTGAGAAGTAATAAATTTCATTAAATGTAAGAAAATCTTAGACTGTCTTATGTACCACCTATGTGACTCCTGTTTACAGAACCAGATTTTATATTATTCAGTCATGTCATAAAAGTAAATGACACGGTCCTCACCTCTAAATTATCTGTAATAGACTCTTGCCTTAGCCAAACGATCCCTTCAGCCTCTGGAGGGGACAGCACCTACAAAATCTAGATGCCTCTCAGTAGGGGATAAATGTATTTGCACAGCTGGATGATGTGTTTCTGCATCTGACACCCTGGGAATAAATTGCCTAAAATTATCTTTTCTGCATTAATAATGATGATGACTCTCAGTGGACCACAATAATGAAAACCATTGACTGTTGTCACAATATGATATATGAGAGGGGCGAAAGGCATGAACTTAATTGCAACTGAGATATTATGAGCATTTTTTACAGTGTAAACCATTATTCTGTGTTTAGCCTCAGCACACAAATGTCTGCTTCTGGTATATACCTCCCAGCTTGCGCAGTATGGAAGACAACGAAGAAAGAATGAGCCGCCTTATGAAGGTAAGCAGCACCCTCCAGGACATCGTGTAGTGAACAGTGAAATCCTTGCAGGCAGGCAATCCTCAAAATGGTCTCCCAGGGCACAGGGCAAGGTCACCTTGCGACATTCCGGCAAATGACACCTCCGTGGTCATTTTACTGCAGGTTAGGCTGGCACCACCTTACTCTGGTCTCCACGTTTGGTATTCCCTGGGTTTGCCTGGTCTCTAGAGTACTTATTTGAACCCTGTGTATATTTACTGAAGTTACTGCAGACTGCAATTGCTAAACCCAGCAAGTACAATAGGTTGATAATACCATGCCACTATGGTATACGAAAAGAAGATGGAAAATGGTTGTAACAATATGTTTTGAGCACTACAAAAAACAACTACTGTGTGGCTGTCAGCAATATTGAGAAAGTGTGGGGGGAGAAATTCCCCAGTGATTTTAAGAGCAGGACAAAGAAACAGGATAAACCCAATGTCTTTTCAATGAGCCATTTATTCCTTAATGGAGGTTAACTTTTTTATCAATATTGGATGTAATCTCATTTTAACTGCTTCTTGTAGCTCTTCATCTTTTTTAAAAGAAGAAAACATAGTCTGTGTTTTGTTGTAATAATAATAAGGATGATGGTAATAATGACAATAATGAAAATAATTATAATAATGATGATGATACTCATCATCATCATCATGATCATCATCCCCTGCTTTTTGTTACATTGCAGGTGGCACCGGTGATAAAAGCCAGGATGATGGAGTATGGAACGACCATGGTGAGCTATCAGCCCCTGGGAGACAAAGTGAACTTCTTCCGGATGGTCATCTCAAACCCCGCAGCAACTCACCAAGACATTGATTTCCTGATTGGTGAAATAGAACGCCTGGGACAAGATTTATAATAATTGGGTGTGAAAGTCTGTTCCTGGACCTCTAAGTAGACAATTAAGTTGTCACAAACTGTGCGAATGTATTTGTAGTTTGTTCCAAAGTAAATCTATTTCTATATTGTGGCGTTGGAGTAGAGTACAGTTTAAAATCAAGAAACATGGCTCTTTTAAAGTCCTTTCCTGAGTTTTAGAATACTTCCTTAATAATTAGCTGCACAAAAAGCTTCACTGAAACAAATAAGGAAGAACGGAAGATACTTAAAATTTTATCCCCAATTTTAACACAGCAACTACTTTAAATTAAAAGCAATCAGACTGAATGGTGCCAAATTTGCCCAAAATGATGACAAAATCAAATTGGGGAAGTGGGAGGGGGCGGTGAGAAGCAGAGCATACAAGCTGCATGTTTAAAAGTGAAAGTATTTTGCCTTTTTCATAGTATTAGAACAGAATTTCTAATTTACCTAGAGCAACATTTCAAATGTATTTAAATAGGTATAGTTTTACAAAAGGAAATATATATATATTAAAAAAATCCTATTTTGTAAACTATTTATTTTTATTTTATATGGGTTATAAAACTTCAAGGACAGAAGCTGAAAATTAACTAGGATTCTTTTTCTTTTGATGGAGGTGCCTCAGATATTTATTACTGCTTATTTTAAAATATAAGCCCACCTACTACTTTCTTAAGAGGTACCAATACCTCATTTCTCCATGTCATATGGATTGTACATCTCCAGGGTTGATTACTGAAAAACCTCAAGAGTACTGCAGCTCTTAAAACCACTTAATAAGATCAATTACAGTACAACAATAGGATGCTATTATTCCTAATTGTTTCCCACTTGGCCTAACTAAGCAGACGCACAATCAATATACAGTGCTAACCAAGACTGAAATAAGGTTGTATTTGGATGGTTTCTGTATTCTGTGGTCAAAAAGCCTATCCAAAAAATGTCACATGTCTGAATAAACACTTATCTCATAACCATTTCTGCTGTGGGCAGTCCAAAACTACACTGAAAATTAAAATTGACTGAAATTCTTACTAAAGAAATAGCATGAAACCTCACGGCTACATTAGGAGGGTAAAGACTTCTTACAGATGTACAGGTCTGCAAGACCTAAATTAAGTGTGACTGTAATCTGAGTGACAGGGATGGGGTCTAAGTAGCAAACTGCTTTGTCAAAGGTTTCTCCCAGTGCTGGACTCCATCCTTGTCTGCAACGGCTTTTGAAATTGCAGAAAAAATTGAGTTAAGGCTACATCTGCCTAAAACAGCCCACGCGGAGCCTCACAGCCTTTTTAGAAACCATGGGCACAGCTCTTGCAGAATTCATGTGCTGCATCGTTCCTTAACATTAGAGGTGACTCTGGCATGGAAACTGACATTGATCCTCTTTCCCCCCAACATCTGGAGGTGTTGGTAAGAGTTCTGCAGCTCGGGCCTGTCTACTTATAACCCTACTAAAGTTTTGGTTTAAATTTGCCTGAACGGCCAACTTCTGTTTGTAAAGCAATATTGTTTTGCTGTCTCTAAAATACTTGAAGAGAAAAAAAAAGAAGTGCAATGTGGTTTTAATTTCATCTAAAATAGATAAATGGAGTATTGATTCAATGTAATATCACGAGGACATGAAGTAAGAGGAAATAAATTGTGTCTGTAATTGTGTTGCCTTTATTATATTGATAGTACTGTTTTGTCACCTCAGATTGAGGCTGTGCACTTTAGATTTAAACTGTACAATGTTGCAAATCAACATGTGTTGCTGTATAAGCTTGTACAATATATTATTGATATGTCATTATTTGTGTGGTAGTAGTATTGACTCTTGATATTATAAGAGCTGCATTCACGCCGGTCCCTCTACTATATCTTTGCTTGGTGTTAACCTCTCCTTGTCAGCTTTTGGGCAGACCCCTCACCTCACTTCAGTGGATTTCCATTGCTGCCTGCGATGCATATAGTGTTGCACGTCAAGCTATAGAGGAGATACCAATTCTACCAGGAAGGACTTCAATGTGACCTTTACTAAATGTGTCAAAATCAGCAGACTAATCACTGAAATACTGAATAGAGCAGCAAATTATATTCTTTTTTCTTGCTGGGAAAAAGGCAAGCAAAGAGCTTAAAAAGTAAAAATAGTACAGGGACAATGCTGAAGGTGATCGGTAGCCTGGTTACATCTTGCATGTGCAATTCCGTTTTGAAGTGCGAAGTGCAAACAATGTATTTATTAGCTGTATGTGCCAATCCAAGATTTACATTCAGTGTTCCAGGAGAACCAGCATTTTTTTTCCACGTTACTGTACTTATTGCAGCCAGGAAAGAGCAGCATAGCAACCTTTTTCTTGTGTTTGACCAAAGTATCTTATCTGTGATGTTGATCTAAATCCAAATAAAAGTGTGAAACGTGACTGGGTCTTTTCATTAGCAGCATTGATGGGCACTCTGAGCACTTATCACTTGTGCAATTTCGGAGCAAGGCCCCAATAAAGAGAATGTTTAATTGCAATTTTCTATGTCTCCTGCTGGATTTTTTCATGTCAAGATGCATTCTGTTAATTACTGTAACATAAAAAACCCAATTCCATCACCAGACCCTTTTTGAGGCGATACTCAGCACCAGCATACAAGTGTAAATCTGCCATCTGGTATTCCTTTACCTTATGTTTACAAGACGGATTTAGTTGCTTTATTCTCCTCAGACAGGCTGAACAATTTTTTGTGTTTTGTTTTGTCTTTTTATTCCACGAGCAGTTATCCCCAAATTAACCATAGACTCTAATCAGCCTCCGGCACAGCAGTGAAAGCAGTCAGGGCACTTTCCAGGACAACACAGACTATACGATGGCAACAATTTAAAAGTGCCGTGAAATAAAAAAGACAAAACAACTGATAAAAAAATTAAGACTTTAATCCTCATGTCTCCCCTGGCCCAGGGCCTCATTCCTCCAAAATCTGTTCTCTGTCTGCTCTACTTTCCTTCCACCCTCTCAAGTGCTGCCCAGCCTGATGCTAGCAGCAGAGAAGGAAAACAAAACGATGCCGTGAAAGCAGCACCAGTCAGAAAGCTTACACCTGAAATGAGATTTTCTGTATCATTTCTTTAAGTCTGCAGCAGAATTTGAGATGAATGCCTATGCCAAGTGCCTGGGCAGAGCTCAGTTAAGAGCTCTGTAGGGAAATACAGAGAGGGAGAAGATGTGGGGATAAGATACTAACCTTACCCCGATGAAGCTCTTCATTTGGCACTGGGAGAGGGACCACTGGGTTAGTATTTTTGAGTACTACTCCCACGGGAGTGCATGAAGCTTGGGCTTTGCTGTAAACGTGTCGCACCCAGAGCTGTGTGGGGTCTCCCTGAGAGACGAGTTGAGCTCAGAGTCCTGGCTGTGCTCAAGGAAGGCAAAATGCCGAAGAAGAGGGAATTCAGGCGGCAGCCTGAGCACCTGCTCTTTACAAAGGCTGGTTCCTTTGACATTCTCCTATGAGAACAGAAGCTCTGGTTTGTTATTTCTCTGCTCCTTACCACAAAACCCACACTCTGCGCAGGGAGAATCATGGATCTAGAAGAGATGACCTATTTCACTGTGGCAGCATACCGGCATGGCGATATTGCATCTGGACCTGGTGGGTTCCCGTGCTGCTGTGCAGTCCCATAGAGCTCCCAGGAGCTGTTGCCCCCGCGGGATGCTCTGCCTCTCCCCGCTGCCCCACTGTGCTGCTTCTTTCTCTCCGCACCTGCTCCACCTTTTCATGCCTCTCTTCCCTCTGGCCCCTTTCCCACAACATGTCTGTATGTGAGCATCTTAACCATCTTCGTACCTTTATGGGACTTTTTTTTTTTTTAAGAGATTAAGGTTCCTTTGAATTGCAGCCTACAAATTCAATTAAAATTCCACTACAACGAGACTGGGGTCCTCAATCCAAGAAGCGGCTGTTCTTTCCTTTATCATGGGGTGGTCCTGGTCCAAGCCAAGTCCACGAGAGGCACAGTATCAATGGGTGACCCCATCCTGGAGCCAGTCTGCTGCAAAAGGAGGCAGAGCGCCAAGAGCCCCGCAGGGAGACCTCAAAACCTGCCTGGAGCCATCCCAATTGACTCACGTCCACAGTCCACTGACTGTGTTTCATGCTCTTGATAAAGCATTTTGTAGTTCACTTCTTAAACCTGGGGTTAATAAAATATGGTTTAGTAAAGCTTAGATAAACGAGATTCTGTGAAGCAGAGACTGGCTGAATGAGCAAACCTAACAGTGCCTGTTACATGACCTCATCATGTAGCTTTGACATACCAGCACGTGATATCCTCTGGGGTTTTACTCTGTGGTGCATAATTTCATCCAGAGAGACACTCTTCCCACTACTGAAGATATCTATTCTTCCCTAAATGGATGCTGTGTCGTGAAATGGACAGAGTGCAAAACTGCATCGTGTCAATAAAATACAGCAGAATATTTTACTGATGATGCTTATGTGCTATGAGGAACTAGGAAACAAATTCAGCTATTGAAACAGCTATTACAGGCACCATCCAGTGCAAGCAGAACTGCAGACCAAGAACTGTGTCTGCACCAAAGAAAGCCACATCTCGAATTACATAAATCCTGTAGGGTTTTTTTTTTTTTTTTTTTTTTTAAGGGGGGGGGGGAACAAGCACTGGCACATGATTTTGAAGTCCACAGCTATAAAGAACAGCAAGACAATACGTAAAAGAGATTTCTTGACATGATGTTTGCCTCAATACTCGGCTAATGCAGAGACAACAGTGTAGGTGGGCTCTCCTGCAGCTCTCGCAAATCCTTGGCCCTGGGGCCATGCTGTTCAGAGCACAGGAGAGGCTGACGGGCAAATGAGAGGCAGAAGAAGGCCCAGCTGGCCTGACAACACAAGATGGACCAGCCAAGGACATGGCTGATGTGGTGGTTGGGTCTCAACGATTCTGGCTACTCGTGAATGCTGCTTGCTTTTCTGCAAATGGCCTCCAGAAGGGACCCCCACCTACTCTACAGCCCACGGCTCCAAGGAAGGCAAGTTTAAGTATCAAGTTAGTTGTATGAAAATCACATTCCAGCATGGCTAAGGAAGGAACAAAGCAAGACAGAGCTCAAGGAAATGTAAATCTTTTATCTGACTTAGCCAGGCTAACTGCCAAGTAGAAAATCATTCTAGGTACAAAGCGAGCCCTGTAGCAAGGCACAGGATACTGACTTTAATGTGCTAATGTCTTAGACCTACAATGTCTGAACTATCAGCTTTCTACCTGACCAGCCTAACTAAAGGGAGTAATCCAGCCATTAGGGGAAAGGCAAGTGCTGCAGCTGGAAGAATTACAGACCTGACTTTGCTCTTCACTGAGAAGACAGAACAGCTGCAGGTCGTGGCACTGTTCATTACAGCACTGAAGGATGCAGGTGTATAGATTTTACACTGTACTTCGGAGCACAAAATTGGGTCTGAGGTTAGAGTCAGAGGAAAAGGAATACGTACCTTTTTTTGTATTAGAATAAAAGCCTATGCATGTTGCTGCTGAAATTCTTGCATTACAAAGAAAGATGAAAAAAATCTGTTCTATAAATCCACGTTCCGTGAATAGAGCAAAGGCTACTTTGTCAGGACAGAGAAAAGTCACAAGTCAAGCAAGGATGGAAACCTCCAGTTCTCCCACTACTCTGCAACAGCTGCTCCTGTGAATGTTCTCACTCCAGCTGATGCCTGGTGCCAAGTCTTCCAAAGATATTCAGATACCTAACTTGCATGATGTGAACCCAGATTGCTTAATCCCAGTCCTCTAGACTACTGGCTTTCAGCCTGTGACCTGTAAACCCCTATGGATAATTTCCCAGAGGTCTGAGACTGATAACTGCGAAGAACAAGTTCATGTACTGCTCTGCAATATGCGAAATTTCTAAAGGGGTCCTTACCTTCCATAGAATGATT